AGACCAAATGTTTGGTATTTCAACTGGTAGTTGATCAATGTAGTAATTGAGATTGATTTTTCTGGTGACCATCTAGTAAATTAAAGCTATAAAATTAACGTTATACTACACATATACTACATATATGTAAACGGAAATCGCAAACAAAATGCGGATTCCACGGACAATTTGCGGATTTCACGTACAGTTTACGGATTCCGCTTACAGTTTCGGAATCCGCAACAGCTCAATTTAACTATACAAATGTCTTTTTATTTGTTTGTGGATTCCACAAACTGTTCTGGATTCCACCAATACGGTTGCGGATTCCGCAAAATTGCCTATTTTTGGAACGATTTTGAGCGGTACAAAGTTTTAGGTATTTGTTTGTGGAATCAAAAAAAGCGAAGACGATAAAAGAAAAGTAGCAAAGCTGCAGATTCCGCGACAAATCTGATTTTGGCCTGTTGCGGATTCCGCTTACAATGCACAGAATGCCCAGTTTGGCCTCGTAATCAAAGAGTTCGATATTTTTGAATTACTCTAACGACTATGTTAGATATTGAGAAAACATTGCTCATCAAATTTCTAAAATAAACATACCAATGATGCTGAAAAAACTAATATCAAGACATTGAGAATCAAGACTCAGACTTATTGTTAATTCCAATCACCATTCGAAATATTTGTTTGGGGGCAAAAATAATAAACTTTTCTAACTGCATGTCTCCTTTTAGCTATGATTTTTCTAGTTTCTTACAAGAAGTGTAGTCAAGCCGATTCTGATAGTTCATACTGATTCTGACACACAAAATGAGTCAACCATTTGTTTTCAGAGAATTAATTTTTAGATTATGATGAACTAATTAATAAAATTTCAAATAAATCCAAACTAGGGCTCAATCTTTGCTTGATACAAACTATTGTGTTAACATGAACTGATCATACTCTTATTTCTTTTCTATATAAATCTATTTTTTTTAAAACAATCAAAACTTTTTTAGGAAAAAAAGAATAGTTACCTTCACTGTGTAAGAAAACTGCGTTTAAAAGAAGAACATTTTCAAAACGATTGAAACTTGTATTGGTAAATTCTAAAACGCTAGATACCTAAAAACAGACAATTCTTGTCTAATGGCCATCCACTCGAAAAATTTGATTTTTAAAAAGAATTGTAGAAATTAAATGAAATGTTACATATGTTTTGGAAAGAAGTTATTACACTTTTTATGATGCTTAATTAATTATTATTGATAAATAAACCAATACAGTTACTAAGCATCTCCAAACCGTTTACTACTTCGAAATGCTATCGGTTACAGTTTTTCATTTTCAGCTGAGAGTTTTTTCAGGATGTGGTTGAATGATTCTGTGAGGAAGTTTGTTGGAATCTATTTAACAAACCTAAAAAAGCCCGGAAAGTTTTTTCTTGGTCAAAAACATGTCTGCTTTCAGCATCAATTATGTCAAAATTTTGCTATCATCTGCAGTGTTTACGATTGTTCTAGCACAGAGATAAGACGAATAATCAATGCAAAAGAATCGTACGAGACAATTTAAGGTAGAAATATATAAATGCGAAGCATTTGATTAATCCACGCCTCACCTTGATTGAAACTTGTCGCCTCTTTTCAATTATAACGCATTTATATTTTATCTGGCTAAGCCTACGAGATTTTCTTTAAGGATTTTACCTCTGATACCACTCCCAGAATTAATTCGTGATTGAATACTGCGATTCATTTCTCAATCCTAATTCGCATTTTTCATTAGAAACTCACAAAGTAGGCAATCATGCAGGAGACTTTACATGTATTTTTAGGCTTAAGTAAAACAAGACTGCTCGTATCAGGGCAAAGCCCTGAATGTTCCGACTGTCCTTTAAGGTTTATGGAGCAGTAATAACATTAAAAAATTCAATGAAATAAAACAAAATGAAAAAAAAAATTCTGAAATTTAAAATTTTTTATGAAAATCATCCACCCACACGCCATATAAAGTACAAAAGTATAGATTTCGCTCCTTGCAACAAACAATTATGGCAAACAAGCTTCTTTTAACCAATTTGGAGCGATTTCTAGGACGGATTAACTCTCCGCTTACGCGTTAATAGCGCGAAATATATCGCGCGCTAATTGTCCCCAATTGGCCAAAATGGCAATCTTTAAACCCCCGTAACTTTACGAAAAATAATCACAGGTGAAATATCTTTTCAAATTTGAGCTCAGGACAACAATACCTTTCGATTGATATAAAAAATTCCTTCAAACAAGGCTAGTTAAAAAGTCGAAATTTGTCTGAAGAAAAAAAAACCCACCCCGAGCACATATATTCCGTTACTTTCGTATCGAAAGTCGGAACAACAAGACTACGCGCATAGGAGCAAAGGTACGCGTATGATTGTTCCAAGGGCTTTCAAACTCGATGGAATAGTTTTCGCTTTTGCAAAAAAGATAGAAGATACCATTTGAAAAAAATAAACAAGACTGCTCGTATCAGGGCTCGTATCAGGACTGCTCGTACCGCTTTTTGATTCTATGTAAGTTTGTCTTTCAATAGTTTGAAGACTATATCTATGATACTATACTTAGAACGTAATACGTATTTACCGAACACACATTTTTAATCCGAAACTAAATGAAACAAGACTGCTCGTATCATGGCGAAGCCCTGAATGTTTCGACTGCCTATTAAGGTTTATGGAGCAGTAATAACATTAAAAAATTAAAAGTAATAAAACAAAAAGAAAAAATTTTTTGCTAAAATTTGAAATTTTTTAAATAAAAATCATGCCCCAACCCGCCATATAAAGAACAAAAGGATAGATTTTGCTACTTGTAACAAATCAATTATGGCAAATAAGCTTCGTTAAACTAATTTGGAACGATTTCTAAGACGGATTAACTCTCCGCTTACGCATTAATATCACAAAAAATATATCGCGCGTTAATTGTCCCAAATTGGCCAAAATGGCAATATTTAAATCCCCATAAAATTACAAAAAATGATTACAGGTAAAACATCTTTTCAAATTTCAGCTCAGGACAACAATAGTTTTCGAATGATATAAAAAATTCCGTCAAAAATGGCTAGTTAAAAAGTCGAAATTTGTCTGAAGAAAAAAAAATCCCACCCGAGCACAAATATTCCGTTACTTTCGTATCGAAAGTCAGAACAATAAGACTGCTCGTATCAGGGGGGTGCCCTGAACGTTCCGACTGCCTTTTAAGGTTTATGGAGAAGTAATAACCTTAAAAAATTAAATGTAAAAAAAAATAAAAATGATTGTTTTTTCTAAATTTTGAAATTTTTATGAAAATCATGCCCCCACACACCATATAAAGTACAAAAAGATAAATTTCGCTCCTTGTAACAAATCAATTATCGCAAATAAGCTTCTTTCAACCAATTTGGAACGATTTCTAAGACGGATTAAATTTCCGCTTACACGTTAATAGCGCGAAATATATCGCGCGTTGATTGTCTCAAATTGGCCAAAATGGCAATCTTTAAACCCCCATAATTTTACAAAAAATAATCACAGGTATATAATCTTTTCAAATTTTAGCTCAAGACAACAATAGCTTTCGAATGACATAAAAAATTCCGTCAAAAAAGGCTAGTTAAAAAGTCGAAAATTGTCTGGAGAAAAAAAAACCCCGAGCACAAGTTTTCCGTTACTTTCGTTTCGAAAGTCGGAACTTTAAATAAATTCTCTAGAAATTTTCTTCTTCTAAACTCCTTCCTCCACAAGCTATGTAAAATACAAAGTGATTTGTGTCGCATATGGCAATAAACTATATAGTCCAAGTAGCCTGCCTCAATTCTATTTGGAACGGTTTCATTGACGATTTAAAACTCCGCTTACATATGCTGGGTTAGTTATCGCTAACTGGCCAAACTGGCAACCTTTGAACTCCCCTTACTTTACGAACAACAATCACAGGTGAAATATTTGTTTCAAACTGAGTTCAGCACAACAATATTACTTTTTGGCTGATATTGAAAATTTTTGTCCAGAATTACTTATTAAAAAATCCGGTGAAATAAGAATCCTCGAAAGTGCAACTATTGCATCATTTTTTTTTTAAAAAATTGCGACAATAACAAAAATAGATGTTGAAAGTAGCAATTTCAGATATTTTTTCCCACTTTCGGTAAAAAATCAGGAATATTTTTTGCTAGTGCTGGTTTGTTGTTTAGTAAATTTTCGACACTTTAATTAAGTTATTTACGAAATGTTCTTACCATCTGACGGAATGTTCTTACCATATGGCGGAATGTTCTTCCATCTGACGGAATGTTCTTACCATCTGAAAGAAATTGTTGTCCTGAGCTTAAATTCAATAAAAAATAACTATTTTACCCGTGATCATTTTTTGTAAAGCTACGGTGGTTCGAAAAATGCTAGTTTAGCCTTTTTGAAAAATTAACGGGTGATATAACGCGTTCTTATAATACGCGTAAATGGCGAACTAACGCGTTCCAAATTGAATTGAGTTCTGCAACTGAGATCTATTAAAACAATAGAAGACGCTTAACCAACCCTTTGTGTTTTACATTACCGGTGGAGGGATAAAGTGAAGAAAATTTTTTTTAATGGTTTGTTTGTCAATTTTCAGCCAAAAAACTTGTAATTGGACTTAAAGTTCAGGCGGAACATTGAGGACTTTGCCCTGATATACGAGCAATCTTGTTTTACGATATAAACTTTTTTAGCGAGAAATGCGAACATTTTTCTTGGTGAGAAATGCGTTTTTGCATTGCGCTGACCATTAAGTTATGAGGCAGGGTTCTTTCAAAGTCTTCGCATAGCTCAGAAAATTACTTTTTGACCCGTTTAAGCTACAAAGTTGCCAGTACTTTTAAAAACCCGCTTGATCTCTTGCTCTCCGGTCCCTATGTTATAAAGCCTGGATGCGCCCTTAGGTATAAAAGCTGACATGAAAGTCTCACATGTTGGGGCCAAAAGTTATGGCTCATGAAAAGTATGTAGAACTGTGAGGGTATAATTTGTGTAGACATGTACAATGACGCGGAACAGCAGGTCTACTGGCTGGATGACAATGTGGAGATGGACGACACTCTCTCCTCCACAGCCACTTTCTTCATAGACCCACAGCTCAAACACGACACCAAAGTCAACAGCTGGAGCGAAGGTAACAGGCAACACCCAAACCCCCAACCCCCCATTAGTCCATTCTAATTAGTCACCTCGCGCCACACTCTGCACTACGTGTCAGTTGAAATCAAACTACAAAAGTCATCAAGCACTGAACGGAAACTACATTTATGATTCTCATTTACTTTGATCCCCTAAAATGTTGTCTTATTCTCTGATGTTAATGTCTGATATAAGCCCTCAGGAACCCTTCAATAGCACCCAACTCACTACAATAAGTTATTACAGGGGTGTCATTTTCTTCTATTCTTTACTAAGTAACAATAAGAAAAAAGTCATCTAAAGTCAAAACTAAATGACTACGTCAGAAGTAAACAGCTCAAAATATATTTTTCCAGTAGTTTTTTCCAAATTTTTTTAAGAAAATAGTTTAAGAATATTTCCATCATCTACTACATTTACTAGCATAGCACAAAAGTTTCCACTTTGTTTCTTTTTTTCTTCAGCTTCATGGTTCGCAGTAGGTTCTATAGAATGATATTCTGTTGATATGGAAAAACTTTATCTACATCTTTGTGAAAAAAACTGGAAACAATTATGATCAAGAAACTTATAGACTATCAAGCGAGAAAACTTTTCAGGAATATACAAAAATCGCTAGTTCATTTTTTGAAAATTTGCTTCAAGCTGTACAATGCTGATTTAAATTATCCGGACAAAACGGATAAAACTCTAAAATTAAAATTCGTTTTTCTCAAAATTGGTTACTTTTGGACAAAAACTTGATGATGACAAACCTTGCTTACAATTTTAGCAGAAATGAAATGGTGCAATTCATTTTGTGAAATTCAATTCCAACATTTAATCCCAAAAATCTTTTTAATGGATTTTTTGAGTCAATCAGTAATTACGCCAAAACAATTTGTTCATTTGCTTACAAAGCTGCATTAAAGTTAGAGCCTCTTGTGTAGCTCAACGAAGTTTGAGAAGAGTATAATCTCCAAAAATTGGCTCAACATGTTTGAAAATTGATTTGAGTTTATAAAAAAATTTCATTTAGTGAAAATGTCTTACCGATGCTATCGTATTTTGTTCTGACAAATACCGAAAAGCCATATTTGGTATAATAATTTTTTTTATCTATAATGCTCAAAAAATGAACAAAAAAAAAGCCCAAGCACGAAATAGTTGGATTCAAAATGACTCCAAAAAAATTTAGGCAGAGCAAATAGCCTCGTGAAGGGTTAACTAGACGCACCTTGTTGTTCTGACTTTCGATACGAAAGTTACGGAATATTTGTGCTCGGGGTAACTTTTTTTTCTTCAGACAAATTTCGACTTTTTAACTAGCCATTTTGACAAAAATTTTTAATATCATTCAAAAAGTATTGATGTTCTGAGCTTAAATTTGAAAAGATATTTTACCTGTGAATATTTTTCGTAAAGTTATGGGGGTTTAAAGATTGCCATTTTGGCCAATTTGGGACAATTAACGCGCGATATAGTTCGCGCTAATAACGTGTAAGCGGAAATTTATTCCGTCTAAGAAAACGTTCCAAATTGGTTGAAAGGAGCTTTTTTGTCATAATTGATTTGTTACAATGAGCGAAACCTATTCTTTCGTCATTTATATGGAGCGTGGGGTGATGATTTCATAAAAAAAACTTCAAAATTTAGCTCCATTGGAAACGAATTAACTCGTATGATAGTGAACCCTTTGTTCCATTCTTTGTAAATCAGTCAAAAATTTTTTTTGATAAATTCAACAATTTGCGAATAGAGATTATAATTTTTTTGATTTAAAAAAAAAAACAAAAATAAACTGCTCGTATATCATGGCAACCCAAAAGGTTTCGAGTGCCTTTTATTTGGTCTCTAATAGTTTTTCGGCAAACAACATTTGAGTAACTATAAATTTTCAACTGTCATTTTTACGTTTTCCGTAATAAAATTAAAAGAATCTGATTCAAGCAAAACTTGAGTTATTGACTTACTTGTTTAAATTTTGGAATAAAATTGTGTGTTCGATAAGTACGTATTACGTTCTATGTACCAAAGATAAAGTCTTCAAACTAATGAAAGAGCAACTTACATAGAATCAAAAAGCATTTAGGACAGTGCCTAAATTTTGTGATTCGGAACGCGTAGATTCCAGGTTCAATCCCTACTTTACATTTTCCAATCAAAAATACAACAAGCATAGAATTTATTCATTTCCTTCCATACTCGGAAAATCTGCAGAATTTTCAAAAGATTATATTTGGTTCCTGTGCACAAGTTTCAAATCTTAAGTTAATGAAAAATGTTTGCGCTTCATTTGAGAATAAATGACTCAATTTTAGAATAACATGAGTCTAACTCAATTTTAACTCAAGTTCGTTTAACTCAATTTCGAATAAATTCAAGCGCGGATGCAACTGCAGCCGAGGCGTGGGGCATACTTGATAGCTAGATGCAAATTGCTCGCAAAGTACTAACTATATTATGCCTTGAAAATTTAGTGAGTTGAAAAGTTAGTTTAATATCTAATCTCAAGGTGCCGATTAATTTATTTTTTTTTCAATTCAACGAAAATGTTAGAGTTTCAGACGCTTTATCACATAGAGTTTCAGACGCTAAAAATGTACTGATGTCTTTTGAAAATTTACTGTTTGTCCAACTTGAAAACCGTTTTTTGAAAGTTTTGTCATTCGTTCATCCAGGGGCGGCCAATATGTAGTAATTTTCCAAAAAGTGCCCAAAAACACAGCCTTTTTGACTAGTTCCTCACGTCTTCCCCCCAACGTACCCCCCCCCCCCCCATCCCCCCCCAAAGTACCCCCCCCCCCCTCCCCAATCCACGACGTACCCCATCATGTACCCCCCATCCCCTCACGTACCCCCCTCCCCCCTCCCCCCACCACGACGTATCCCCTCTCTAGTCAGGGGACATCTAACTGTTCAGAACTAAAAACATGCAAATATATTTCAGAGAGCAGCTTCTGAGGAAAACTGATAAAAACTCTACTCTCAGTCGCTCTCCCTTTTGGTCTCGTTTTTTTTCAATTAGGACAAAATAGTTAATTATTTATAAAGCGATTAATACACGAGGGAAAGGACCAGCACGTGGAGCTGTTCAGCTCGTCACGGACACCTGCTGTTAAATCCCTAGTTAATGTTCAGTCTGACATCCCAGTTATTGTTACACACTAGTCCTTGTCTGTCTTCCCACCACTTTCACTTGTGAACCTTTTCGCTAGCAAGCTTGTTTGATTCAATAATTCAAGGTTCCATTCAATGATAACTATCTGTCGTGTGGTAATCTACTGCTGGTAACCCTTGTTTCAGAGTCCGATCACAGAGGTAGAGCAATTGCTTATACATGTTAACTGTTGGAATTGAATGTGCTTCTACTCTTAATTAGACTAACATACTTTTTGGTGCCCACTAAAATGGATGGAGTGGGTGAAACATATGCATCAAATCAACTCCACCCCTCTCGAATAGATATGGTACATTAAACTCCGCCGTTAGCTTTCTAAAAATATTTTGCATTCATAAGATGACTGTTAGACATGTCGCATTATCATCATTACAAGAACATGATGTTGCTTAATATGCACCGGGATTTTTATGACTTGCTTGGGGTTTTTACGCATTTGAAGAACCCAATCCAATTAATGTCTGTCTAGTTCCAACTGAAAGAAATGTTATGAGCTGAGTCTGAAAAAACGCCCCATTTTGCGATTAAGCATAATTTGGATAATGGTTCTACAATTGTTTTATGTGAATTATGCTAAATCAGAGGGGCGGATCTATGATCTTTTCAAGGCTGGGGGCTAGAAAAAATCCAAACTTTTCAAAAAGCTATTAAAAGGCCTATTATCCAAAGTTAACTGTAAAAATTAAAATGCCGTTTCAGGGGCTTTTTAAGAAAACATTTTGACCGAAAAAATTGCTCGTTTTTTGACGCGCGCTGCCCTCGATCCAAGTTAAAATAGTATGTGTTGGCACCTAACGTGCGTTACGAAAAATTTTAGGATCGCTCGTAGCAAAACCCACTAGTCAAACTTTTGGGTAGTGAGGGAGTCAATCCGACTACTGCTCAAGTAGTTTAAATTAAACATGTTTGATCAGCTTCTCTCTCTCTCTCTCTCCTCTCTCTCTCTCTCTCTCTCTCTCTCCTCTCTCTCTCTCTCTCTCCTCTCTCTCAAATAAACCAATAAGTATTGATAAAACCAATAAAAATTGATAAGAAACTTCATATCTCGGAAGCTGAAAAGATTTGAGCAGACAAATTTGGAGGCAAAAATTGCAACCCCTGAAAGTATTCTGGCAGCAGTCGACTATAGCGCTGAGATTATTAAATTTTGCGAAGTTTTTAAAACCTAAATTTTTTGAAAATTTTTCAAGAAAAAAAACATAAGAAACGTCACCTCTTGGAAATAATAGAAACGTCACCTCTCAAATAAACCAATAGACCAAATCAATATCATTCATCCACTGTGTTAAAAGTTAAAATAAGTTAACACTGAGTGTATTACAATCAATTCTGATTGACTTAAATTCAAAACTTGTAACAGGAATAACATCCCCCCATCGGTTGAAGGAGAAAGGTCGCTCGTTCCGCTGTGTCATCCTGTTATTAATTGTATTGTGCATCATACTGTATTTTTGTATGTTGCTCCTTAATTATGTTGTGCAATTAAACTGCTCTTGGTGCCCAGGTGAACCAAAATCTAAGAAATTGATATAGCTGGTTAGTATGAACCTGTCGCAACAAATCAAACGTAAGATTTTAAGACCGTTTTTCTCAAAATTGGGTTGATTCCGAGATATGACGTTTCTTATCATTTTTCTAAATAAGTTAGAAAAACAAAACTTCACAAAATTTGAAATTAATTTCTCTATGGTGGGGTGCTCTCGGAGTATGTCCAGGGGTTGAAAATCTTGCTTCCAAGAGCCTGCTCGAATCATTTTTATTTCCAAGAGGTGACGTTTCTTATGTTTTTTTTTCTTGAAAAATTTTCAAAAAATTTAGTTTTTAAAAACTTCGCAAAATTTAATAATCTCAGCGCTATAGTCGAGTGCTGCCAGAATACTTTCAGGGGTTGAAAATATTGCATCCAAAATTATCTGCTCAAATCTTTTCAGCTTCCGAGATATGAAGTTTCTTATCAATTTTGAAAAATTTTTCAAAAAATTTTTTAGATGAAAAAAAAAACAATAAAAATTTGAAATAAACAACTCATTGATTCGTTCAGGGACGTTCAGGGTACGTTCAGGGTACTCAGAGTACGTTCGGGGATTGCAAATCTTACCAGATCAAATTTTTTAGTTTTTGTAATATGACGTTTCTTATCATTTTTCTAAGAAAAATTAAGAAACTAAACTTTACAATTTTGGTAGGGTGCTCTCAGTGTACGTTCAGGGGTTCCAAATCTTGCCTACAAATTTATATGCTCAAATTATTTAAATTTCCGAGATTTGACGTTTTTATTATCTTTTTTTGTAAAATTTAAAAATAAATTTTCAGAAAAAAAACATGATTTCAAAAAGTTAACAAAATTTGACCTTGCCAACCACATACTTGGGTGCTGTCAGGGTAGTCTCAATGGGTTGCAAACCTGCTTCTTTTTGTGACGTTTTTAGTAATTTTTTTGAAAAGTTTTAGATAATAAAAACTTCAAAGAACTTGAAATTTGCAACTTTATAATGGGGTGCTCTCAGGGTTTTTTTGAATTGGCCTCGAAATAAGAGTAATCGAAAAATTTTTTAGCTTACGAGATATGACAATTTTTCTTGTTTTTCATAAATATTCAGAAAATCTTTGAATGCATTTTGCGAAATTTTTAAAACCTAAATTTTTTGAAAATTTTTCAAGAAAAAAAACATAAGAAACGTCACCTCTTGGAAATAATAGAAACGTCACCTCTCAAATAAACCATTAGACCAAGTCAATATAATTCATCCACTGTGTTAAAAATTAAATAAGTTAACACTGAGTGTATTACAATCAATTCTGATTGACTTAAATTTAAATTTTGTAACAGGAATACGCTCGTTCCGCTGTGTCATCCTGTTATTAATTGTATTGTGCATCATACTGTATTTTTGTATGTTGCTCCTTAAATATGTTGTGCAAGTAAACTGTTCTTGGTGCCCAGGTGAACCAAAATCTAAAAAATTGATATAGCTGGTTAGTATGAACCTGTCGCAACAAATCAAACATAAGATTTTAAGACCGTTTTTCTCAAAATTGGGTTGATTCCGAGATATGACGTTTCTTATCATTTTTCTAAATATGTTAGAAAAACAAAACTTCACAAAATTTGAAATTAATTACTCTATGGTGGGGTGCTCTCGGAGTATGTTCAGGGGTTGAAAATCTTGCTTCCAAGATCCTGCTCGAAGCATTTTTATTTCCAAGAGGTGACGTTTCTTATATTTTTTTTCTTGAAAAATTTTCAAAAAATTTAGGTTTTAAAAACTTCGCAAAATTTAATAATCTCAGCGCTATAGTCGAGTGCTGCCAGAATACTTTCAGGGGTTGCAAATCTTGCATCCAAATTTGTCTGCTCAAATCTTTTCAGCTTCCGAGATATGAAGTTTCTTATCAATTTTTGAAAAAATTTCAAAACATTTTAGATGAAAAAAAAACAATAGAAATTTGGAATAAACAACTCAATGATTCGTTCAGGGACGTTCAGGGTACGTTCAGGGTACTCAGAGTACGTTCAGGGATTGCAAATCTTACCTGCTCAAATTTTTTAGTTTTTGTAATATGACGTTTCTTATCATTTTTCTAAGAAAAATTAAGAAACTAAACTTTACAATTTTGGTAGGGTGCTCTCAGTGTACGTTCAGGGGTTCCAAATCTTGCCTCCAATTTATCTGCTCAAATTATTTTAATTTCCGAGATTTGACGTTTTTATTATCTTTTTTGAAAAACTTTCAAAAAAAATTGGATAAAAAAAATTGAAATAAGCAAACCTATGTTAGTGTGCAGTCAAATTTTCCCACGGTTGCAAATTAACCAACAAATGTGAATCACCAAACTAATTTAGCTTACGATATATGACTTTTTTTGTAAAATTTAAAAATAAATTTTCAGAAAAAAAACATGATTTCAAAAAGTTAACAAAATTTGACATTGCCAACCACATACTTGGGTGCTGTCAGGGTATTCTCAATGAGTTGCAAACCTGCTTCTTATTGTGACGTTTTTTGTAAATTTTTTGAAAAGTTTTAGATAATAAAAACTTCAAAGAACTTGAAATTTGCAACTTTATAATGGGGTGCTCTCAGGGTTTTTTGAATTGGCCTCGAAATAAGAGTAATCGAAAAATTTTTTAGCTTACGAGATATGACAATTTTTCTTGTTTTTCATAAATATTCAGAATATCTTTGAATGCATTTTGCGAAATTTTAAAAACTAAATTTTTTGAAAATTTTTCAAGAAAAAAAACATAAGAAACGTCACCTCTTGGAAATAATAGAAACGTCACCTCTCAAATAAACCAATAGACCAAATCAATATCATTCATCCACTGTGTTAAAAGTTAAAATAAGTTAACACTGAGTGTATTACAATCAATTCTGATTGACTTAAATTCAAAACTTGTAACAGGAATAACATCCCCCCATCGGTTGAAGGAGAAAGGTCGCTCGTTCCGCTGTGTGATCCTGTTATTAATTGTATTGTGCATCATTCTGTATTTTTGTATGTTGCTCCTTAATTATGTTGTGTAATTAAACTGCTCTTGGTGCCCAGGTGAACCAAAATCTAAGAAATTGATATAGCTGGTTAGTATGAACCTGTCGCAACAAATCAAACGTAAGATTTTAAGACTGTTTTTCTCAAAATTGTCTGCTCAAATCTTTTCAGCTTCCGAGATACGAAGTTTCTTATCAATTTTTGAAATTTTTTCAAAAAATTTTTTAAATGAAAAAAAAAAACAATAGAAATTTGGAATAAACAACTCAATGATTCGTTCAGGGACGTTGAGGGTACGTTCAGCGTACTCAGAGTACGTTCAGGGATTGCAAATCTTACCTGCTCAAATTTTTTAGTTTTGTAATTTGACGTTTCTTATCATTTTTCTAAGAAAAATTAAGAACTAAACTTTACAATTTTGGTGGGGTGCTCTCAGTGTACGTTCAGGGGTTCCAAATCTTGCCTCCAAATTTGTCTGCTCAAATTATTTAAATTTCCGAGATTTGACGTTTTTGTTATCATTTTTTGAAAAATTTTCAAAAAAAATTGGATAAAAAAAATGAAATAAGCAAACCTATGTTGGTGTGCAGTCAAACTTCTCCCACAGTTGCAAATTAACCAACAAATGTGAATCACCAAACTATTT